CTTGCCCTCTGCACTTTCTGTCTTAGCCGCCTTCGGCGGGCCAGAAGCTCGTCTCCCAGTACCGGGGTTGGGGGTAGGTGGGGGTGGGCTGGATTTGGGGGGCGGTGCCTTGGCCACCTCCTTCCCACCTCCTCGCGACTCACCCGAGACCTTCGCCTTGCTGCTTCCGTCCGGTGCCTTGTCTTCCTTCTCGTCCTCACTTGAGCTTCCAGGCAGCACAGGAGAACCAGACGAGAAAGAAGACGACCGACTTTCTTCCATCTCGTCTAACTCCTGCTCCTTCTTCTTTATGGAGACCCGGAGACTCCGCAGTTTTTTATGATCTTCACGGATGGCACCTTTCTTCTGCAGATACTTAGCCTTCAGGACCCCCAGGCCAAGGCGAACCGATGAGCCAGTCGAAGGCATTGCGAGCAAGGAAATTTCGGATGGCAGGCAAGAGCTCAGGTTCTCGAGCCGACCCAAATTGCGTTGTTCCGTCGCTCCGCTACCAATGACATCGAGCACGAATGCAGCAGCACGACTAACAACTCATGCATGCAAGCGTCCTCGCCTTCGCGATTGCGACGAAAACGATCGCAGAGTCGGCGGCGTATCCTGACGGCAGTGCCGGACATGTGTTTCGAAGCGCTTGTTCGGAGAATCTTTGGTTCATAACTCAGTGTGCAGCATCGCATGAGTGTTGTAGCATGTTGCATATAACAAGTCGCGACAAGGCTGTTACAGATAACAAAGCCCCCGTCAGTGCTATACAATATCATGCTGAAGGGTGAGATGCAGATGATGAAGATGATGAAGATGATGAAGATGATGAAGATGAAAAAGATGATGAAGATGAAAAAGATGATGAAGATGAAAAAGATGATGAAGATGAAGAAGATGATGAAGATGAAGAAGATGATGAAGATGAAGAAGATGATGAAGATGATGAAGATGAAGAAGATGATGGAGATGAAGAAGATGATGAAGATGAAGAAGATGAAGAAGATGATGAAGATGATGAAGATGATGAAGATGATGATGATTAAATAATTTAGATCCTGAAGGGGAGGGGTCCCCGGGGGTCCAGGGCCCCGGGAATTAAATAATTTAAATAATTTAAATCCGGAGCCCTTCCCCAGGATTTAAATTATTTAAATTATTTAAATCCTGGGGCCCGGGGCCCCCGGGAACCCCCCCGGCCAGGATTTAAATTATTTAAATTATTTAAATTATTTAAATTATTTAAATGGGGCCGGGAATTAAATAATTTAAATAATTTAAATAATTTAAATAATTTAAATCCTGAAGGGGAGGGGTCCCCGGGGGTCCAGGGCCCCGGGAATTAAATAATTTAAATAATTTAAATCCGGAGCCCTTCCCCAGGATTTAAATTATTTAAATTATTTAAATCCTGGGGCCCGGGGCCCCCGGGAACCCCCCCGGCCAGGATTTAAATTATTTAAATTATTTAAATTATTTAAATTATTTAAATTATTTAAATGGGGCCGGGAATTAAATAATTTAAATAATTTAAATAATTTAAATAATTTAAATCCTGAAGGGGAGGGGTCCCCGGGGGTCCAGGGCCCCGGGAATTAAATAATTTAAATAATTTAAATCCGGAGCCCTTCCCCAGGATTTAAATTATTTAAATTATTTAAATCCTGGGGCCCGGGGCCCCCGGGAACCCCCCCGGCCAGGATTTAAATTATTTAAATTATTTAAATTATTTAAATTATTTAAATGGGGCCGGGAATTAAATAATTTAAATAATTTAAATAATTTAAATAATTTAAATCCTGAAGGGGAGGGGTCCCCGGGGGTCCAGGGCCCCGGGAATTAAATAATTTAAATAATTTAAATCCGGAGCCCTTCCCCAGGATTTAAATTATTTAAATTATTTAAATCCTGGGGCCCGGGGCCCCCGGGAACCCCCCCGGCCAGGATTTAAATTATTTAAATTATTTAAATTATTTAAATGGGGCCGGGAATTAAATAATTTAAATAATTTAAATAATTTAAATAATTTAAATAATTTAAATCCTGAAGGGGAGGGGTCCCCGGGGGTCCAGGGCCCCGGGAATTAAATAATTTAAATAATTTAAATCCGGAGCCCTTCCCCAGGATTTAAATTATTTAAATTATTTAAATCCTGGGGCCCGGGGCCCCCGGGAACCCCCCCGGCCAGGATTTAAATTATTTAAATTATTTAAATTATTTAAATGGGGCCGGGAATTAAATAATTTAAATAATTTAAATAATTTAAATAATTTAAATCCTGAAGGGGAGGGGTCCCCGGGGGTCCAGGGCCCCGGGAATTAAATAATTTAAATAATTTAAATCCGGAGCCCTTCCCCAGGATTTAAATTATTTAAATTATTTAAATCCTGGGGCCCGGGGCCCCCGGGAACCCCCCCGGCCAGGATTTAAATTATTTAAATTATTTAAATTTTAAATTATTTAAATGGGGCCGGGAATTAAATAATTTAAATAATTTAAATAATTTAAATCCTGAAGGGGAGGGGTCCCCGGGGGTCCAGGGCCCCGGGAATTAAATAATTTAAATAATTTAAATCCGGAGCCCTTCCCCAGGATTTAAATTATTTAAATTATTTAAATCCTGGGGCCCGGGGCCCCCGGGAACCCCCCCGGCCAGGATTTAAATTATTTAAATTATTTAATTCCCGGCCCTGTCCCCGCCCGGGACCCCCAACCGGGTTTATTTGGAAGCTGGCTCTTGTTTATATATAAGGGATTTAGGTCACTGTTTCCCTATCTAGAGTGCAAGCACCAGCTTCCAAATAAACCCGGTTTAAGCCGCACACCCCCCCCCCCCCCTCCCCAATTTTCCCCCGAATGGTTAGAAGGTATCATGGCCGTCACGGTTGCTGTTGGAGCTTTGAGGGCTCGGGAAGGAAGTTGTCTCAGATCAGAGTCACCCGGGCTTGGGCCGCTTCTGTTGCCATGGTTGTAGACTTGCTTCTCCCGCATTGTTCGAGGACAAAATGTCTTTTTGTCAGGCCAGGCCGTTGAAGCCACGTCCTTAGGTTTTGCTTTTGGAGCTTCAGTTCCGAGATGTGCCTGCTTCTGGAGGCAGCCGTAGAGGGCTTCTGCAATAAGACTTAAAAAAGCACCTCGGGCTTCAGGGTTTTGGAGCCCTATACACCATAAAGCCCCAAACCCTCTAATCCCTTGGTGGCTAGTCTAGCTCTAACTCTAGATAAACGCTTTGACGGTATTCGTATAATCAGAGAAGGCTACGATATTGCGTGTCATGGCCCGGTATCTGGAAAGGCGAAGTGCGAGGAGAAGCGCAAGATTCTCAGCTACCTGGGCGACACACGTCAAGCACGCGGGCGTTAGGGCTTTCAAGCTATAGTACCTAAAGGCCCGCACAAAGTATGCATTGACTAGGTCCAGGTATTGCATTTTAGGATAGATGCCGCAGGCTGGTCTTCCGGGAAGTAAAGATCAGTAGATACTCGGATCCTTAAGGTTTACCCGAATTCAGATTGAAGGCAGGTCTGAGCTGCGTCAACCCCGATTCGATCTTGCTAGAACCTGTTGTGCTACACCCTTCCGGACCGACGAAGCCCTCAAGTCTGCAACCTCAAGTCTTAGAAACCCTATCATTCCTAGATCGCTGTGGAGAGTCGCAGTTGGGAAAGTTGGGGCACTTTGTAGAATGCATCGGTCAGAACGTCGTGTGGCCGTTTTTTTGCGTAAGTCTCAGCCATGCCTCCCGAGTTCGGCAGAAGCTGCGAAGAGAGGTTGCAGCGCTCAAACTTTTGTCGTAGTTAGGTAAACTTTACATTTTATGGGTACTTGAGCCCAAGGAGGAACAGACAGTTGAATTGTCAATACCATCCCAGCCGTGGACATAATTTCGATTGATGTCGGCCGTAGCCTCTCAGGATCACAGGGGATGTTATGGGCAGTTTACTGTTCTTTCCGTGTTTCCTTTGCCCTTTTCTGGCCCATGAGACTCCGAGTTAATTGCAAGCGTTCAGGATGACGTCGGAGCGCGCAAAGCCTCAGTCAGAAAGAAGAGTCGACATTGGAGTTTCCGAAAACAGGGGACCCTAATATAGCACCCTAAATAGTAGGATCCCTATTATAAAGACCCCATGATAAGGTACCCCTAATTTTCGGAAACTCCACATTGCTAATGCCGCTTAGTGCATCGGGCTTGGAGCCTGCATCGCACACAAAGATTTGACCGGAACTGAGCCCGCCGCAGGTCGGCAGGAGACGCAGGCGCTGCAAGACCGAGTCTGTAGGGATCGTGCTCTTTGGGGCTGGGCCAACTTCTTGCTGGGACAGAATGCAAGTAGTTCAGCAGCCCCGAAGGCAGCGAACCCCCAAATCTTGCAAACTGCAATCCGAAAAGCCGGTAATTATGAGCCACTGAGTATGGATCGATTGCGAACCCCAGGACCCTAGGACCTAAAGCTTTTTAACCTCAATCGGAGCGGAACGCCTCAACCACAAGCCTCCCTTCATCTCTCGGCTTAGGGTACCTACTGGACTTCCCGAAGGGCATGCTATGGCCAACGTGCTCCTGGGGGCTCGTTACAGAATTCTGTGCGCAGGGCTACTATAGAGGTGTTGGATAATTACCTTTACTATTTTGGCGGTTCCTTGTGATATTTTTTAGTATAGTGGGCCCCCCAGATCCCTATTCTAATTACTAAGGCCCCAATAGAATAGTACCCTTATAGTAACCCTTATAGACCCCTCTAAAGGGAACCCTATTCTACTTCTCAAGGCCCCGATATAGGCGTTCTGGATCGAACCTGTAGTCAGGTATTGCCAGGACCCCAGTGCCCTAAGAGGCACGCCTTGCCATTCCGCCCTCCTCGCCTCACTGGCATCGGCGTGCCCGTAAGCGACGGGCCCTTTTACGGCGGCGGATCCACGAGGCGCGATCTCGGGGCCAAACGCCACGACTAGCGGCAGCCAGGGAGCTAGGCCTTCATCATACACGGCCTGCGTACCGGGAGCTGCGATCTTTGCCAATGGGCAAAAGAGGAGCATGGCAGGACAAGCAGGACCAATGGCCTGCACACAAAGAAAGCAAGGAGGCCAAGCAAAAGTGGCGAGTCTGGCATGGATCATACTCTTCAGCCTCTCCCAAGGATGGGAGCCGGTCCCGCTACGACTACACGCAGCTGACGGACCAGGACTACAAGGGATGGTACAAGCAGGCCGAGGACCCTGGGGAGACGGAAGGCTCGGAGCTCCTCCGGGCCATCCAAAAGAAGGTTTCCGCGGCCAGAAAAGCAGATGGCAGGGTGCGCAAACTACAGGAGGATCGTGCTTGGAAGGAAAAGCAGTGGAAGGCCTTCGAGAAGAAGAGCGTCCAGGACTTCCTGGCAGAGCGCAAGCGATTTCATGCGGACATGGACCGCATCGACGAAGAGATCAAAGCAGCAATGGCCTCGGGCAAGGAGGCATCCGGGTCTGTTCAGACCCTTGCCAACGAAGGCCTCCCACCGGTGGCGGTCGATATGGAGGATGCCACACCTTGGGACGAGCTTCTGCACAGTCACTCTGCAGAGGCCCAGCAGGAGTTCCTGACGGATGCCCTTCAAGCGGCGGAGAAGGCCAAGCAGGCTGCTGTGGCGGCTTCCCGTCCAGCCGAAGGCGGATTGGTCACCCAGGAACAGATGGCCAAATTCATGGCTTTGACTATGGCCAGTCTGCCTCGATGCCCTCCACAGTATGCATACCCACCGGGGCTTATGCACGGACCGACGCCAGGGTTATGGTATCCACAAGGGCCTCCACCGGGAGGCTGTGTGCCCACACAGCCTACCATGGAGCCGCATGGAGCACCTGCCGTACCTCCGATGCCACCGCCCACCGAGTCTGTGGCATATGTTGCCGGCGGGGGACACCAGCATGTCGAGGAGCCCTTCTTTGCCTCTCCTGCCACAGAAAGGTTAAAGCGCACTGCCTCTGTCTCTCCCCGCGTCAATCCCTATCAGATGGATCGCCACCACACTGCAGCAGGCGACCACGGTGCCCCGGGGGCAACAGCGCCAGCTCCTGGAGCAGATGTCACAGGGACCACGGATACGAAGGCTGCTCCGGCTGCGGCCCCATCTGGACCGAGCTTGACCGACAAGCTCGAAGCCAAGAGAGATCAGGAGCGACGTGCCCTTCTGCCTTTTGGCGGGAAGGCCCCAGAAGCCCAAGGGGTGCGCCCTACGACCTTTATGGAGGACGACCCGGACTTGGATCTACCCAAATCGCATGCAGCGGCAGGCCTGGACGGTCTTTCTTGACCTTAGAGCAGGGGTCCCGGCTGCTTAGCCTGTCGCCCAGCAAGGCCCTCCGTCGACTGTAGCCCAGTCTGCTTTGACTGGTGCTGTAGTTCGGCCCTGCCACACCCAGACACCTATAGCTGGGATCATCCCTGCCGACCCTGCAATAGCGTGCCTAATAACTACATCGGTGGCTCTGGGGTAGTAACCTTTTGCTCGGTTCGGCTAGGCTTCTGCTGCATCAGGGGATCACGCTTTCCCCCCGGACTTGCGCCGTGCTTGTATCGGCTCAGTTTTGATATCCATGATGAGCTTCTGGCATCTGTTCTTCCTTTACAGGTTTGCCTTCCTTCCTCCTGGACTTGCGGATCGGCCTCTGACAAGTTTCTACCAGGCCCCTCGCCGCCCTGCCCAGTCTGCCTGGGCCTCTCTCTTCTTTGCTCCACTTGCAGCAGCGTGCCTAATAATTACATCGGTGGCTCTGGGGTAGTAACCTGCTGTAAGTTCGAGATCTTTCCACATCTGGATCTTCCCTGTAACCTGGGCCCCGACCCCTATGTCGCTCTGCCTGCTGACTGCAGTTCGGATCTGCCCAGAGATACCCTGATGGCAGGAGTCGTGGCTCCGGATCTGCACTGGATCATGCAATGGCTCGTCTGCCATTTGCCAGGCTTCTGTCTCAGCGCCCTTTTGCTGATGCTCCTGTGCTTAGTCCAGCCTATCTTGCACTGGCTGTATGCGCCCCTGTTCCGGCGCATATGCAGGATCCGATGCCGCCCCGCTAGGATCCCTTTGGGTTTAGTCCCCCTAGGCCTTGTTGGGTCCTCGTCTGGCCCGGTTGCATGGGAACCTTGTCCTCCTACACGCCGACGATCCCCAAAGGGCCATGCCACGAGTTGGCCCTGCAGATTCTTCTTGGGTTTAGGCCACCTCATAGGGTTGCGACCCTTACTTTGCGGCTGTCTCCCCCACCAGATATGGGCAATGCCCCCTGGACTTCGAGAAGCTCTTGAGGGGTGCAGGGACATTACTCGGTACTTCCCTGAGACTAGCTTGCCGGGGCCCGCTGTCTCTTTGACTTCCGAACTTGTTCCCGCTTGCGACATGAATCACCCTGACGGACCTTCTGCAGAGCTTGCTACCCTGCATTGTCTCGTTATGGCCCCAGGGTTTAAAACTGAGTGCCACCCTCTTCAGATCCCCATAACCTGCCAGGTGGACGAAATACTGCAGCTTGTGTCTTCCCGATCCGCGTTGCTGACTAGGCTGTCGTCCGCGCATCTTGTGCCCATCCGGCCTCAGCCAGGTGCGGGATATGCCGCCTTTGTTGTCTGCCCGGACTGGGCTGCTGCTTCCAGGAGGGCCTCAGTTGTCTTCGACTTTGGGATGGTAGGGGGACCTACCTTCGCACAAATAGTCTGCCAGGAGATTACAATCTCCGATCTTTCTGACATTGCGGCGCGCCACACTGCAGGCCCTTGGGATGTGTACGTCGGCGGCGCTGAAGCCCCCCTGCAATGCCAGAGCTCTGCCACGGCCTATGATGGGACTCTTGTCAGTTTTGTGCCAGCTGGTCACAGGCCTTACAGAGAATCATCAATAGAGTTCCTCCTCATGCAGCCGTGTTGTTGGTTCAAAGAGCCGCGCATATATGTCGAAGAGCCAACTGAGAAGTGGCTGCTTATACGCGAGGACTCAGCTAGGTTGGTCTCTTTTACAGGCCCCTTTGGGGATGAACTCCGTGATGTCATCTCCACACAAATGCACCGGCGTGCCGATAGGGTTCAGCTTGCTCTGCCGGCTCCCGAGGAGGGCCTAAATGACGTCGTCTTTGAGGGCTATGCCGTTGAAAAAGTTGTTGCAGCTCGGCCTAAGGACGACGCACCTGCAGAAGGACCCCCTAGAGACTGTATGGTTTTTCTTGACCCTAGGCAGATGGGTTTGGACCTCACTGTACGCCTTGTCGGCACTCCCATATATAGCACAGTGGCAGCGGGACTTTCGCTGCACCTAGGCCTTGTCGCAGGTTTCCGAGTCTTTGCAGAGCACCCCCGCCTTGAAGCCACTGCTCTGCCGGTTGCACAGGGCACGGTGCTACGATTGGGCTGGGAACACGAGCACCTCCCTGTCCCTGACATTCGGTCTTCTAGTGGCATACCGGTCGAGCTTGCCCACGGCCCTTCAGGCGACAACAGCACAGGCTCGGTTGCTCCTTTCTTGGACGAGACCCCTGAGGGACCGTCCTCCCCTTTCCGCTCAGTGGCCTATCACGCGCCTTCGGCCTGCTCCAATGTCTTGCAGGAAATTGGTTTTCTCGTCTTTGCGCCGATGTGTGCCACTGAGATTGTTGAAGTCCCTCTCAAACTACCGTGCTCTGTCTATGCCGCGGGGCAAGCGCTTACCAATGCACGGGAAGAGGCCCCTGCCTTGCTTTTTGAGCACCTTGTGCCTGCGAAACCGCAGCCAGACTCTGGTTTCTGTGCTGTCATTGCGACCCCCTTGTGGGCCGAACAACGCATATTCGTGCTTGTTGACGCGCGACGTTGGGACTCCCGGATCTTCTGTCTGCCTGTCCCCGATCGCCTGCCAAGGGGCGCTTTCCTTCGACTCGCAGGGGTACAGGATTGTCCGGGGTTACAGATCTTTGTCAGGGGTTGCCTGATGCTTCCTTCTCGCGAGCTCATCTTTGCTTCCGGGGACACTGTCTCAATCTTGCCGGCCGGTTCCTCCTTAGGGCGGACAGCTGAGCTGTCAGAAATGCTTGCCCAGCCCCAGAACTGGAGCATTCGGCTGCCGGCTTTCTCGGGACCTGCGACCACTGCTTTCTATGTGCTGCATGACGGGCCCAGTCACATTCTGGAGGTCGATGTCGATAAGGTCCCCTCTGGATCGCTTTTTCGACGAGTTGCCGCTAGTCTCTTGGGATATGACTCGGCACAAGTTGTCTGCAGGCCTACGGTCCCGAGGCTCCGGGACCTTGCGGTACTTGGGCAACTTTGTCAGGCGGCAGTAGTCCTCCTTGCGTCTTTGGACCGCGAGTTACCTGAGACTGGCTCGCACGACATGATACATACCACCTATGTGCTTGACCTGCGGGCCATCCTCCGGGGGCTTACCTGGCGCAGGTGTGAGGGCAACCGTGTCCTGCTCGCGCCGCTTGTGCAGGAGTTTGAGGTCGGCATGCCCGTGGGTTTCTCCCTTCTCATCGCGGGTTGTGACCCTGTTGGCGAGGGCTCATTGGCATATGTAGAAATAGTCGAGGGAACAGTTCTTCGTCTGGAGTACTACGTTGATTACCTTGAGCCCCCAACCTACCATACAGATCCCGACTCAGCTGATCTGCCAGATGACGAGGATGATGATCCGACAGACGATTCGGACTCCTCTTCGAGCTCTGATTCCACCCCGCCAGCACCTGCTAGGAAACGCCCTAATAGTAGGCCGCCTGGAGGTAACCAGAAACGACGGGCCTCGGGTAACGACCGGCGTAACCGAACACCGAGAATTGGCAGGACCTGCATATGTGCAATGGGGCCCAGTGCTCAGACAGCAGTCCCTAGAGTAGGTGGCCCAATCCCCTCCGGTCTGCCCCTGACTTCTGGTTTTGGCCCCAGCCTCGCTCTACTTTTGGGTCTCTTAGGGCTTCCACCGTGTAGTGCGTCAAGGCCTGCGCTTCGCCACTCACAGGATTTTCCCATAGCCGATGGTTGTCCTGCACTTCAATGGTTTTCTCGGTGCGTGGGGGCATGCATTGCTTGCAAATGGCTGGTCGAGCCTGTGTCTTCATCCCAAAGTTCCAGACTTGCCCTAGCTTCCCTGCGACGTACGGCCGCTCAGATGGGTCATCAATGGCGATATCTTCCGGCCGAGGACGCCATCTCTCTGGCCGGTTCGGATGGTTCAGAGCCTTCTAGCGAAACTGAGGAAGCCACGGTTTGTACTGTACACTTTGGTGTGTTAGTCGCAGGATATGCGGTGGAGCATGTTACTGTTGACCTCTCCTTTCCGGCTGTTCTAACCGAGGTGCTTCCGGCTGTGCAACGCGCTCGGAATACGCCTGCCTCCGAGGATTTTCCCTGCCTTCTAGCCGTCGACCCTCAGCCTTGTGTAGGGGTTGGGGTCCTCTTGGGGCTCGCACCTTGGCAGCTTGTGGAGAACATCATATGCCTCAATTTGCTCCCTTTCGATGGCCGTCTCTTCCAGGTTTCCGCCCCGGTCTATCTCTCTCGCACAGACATTCTTTCCTTGGCGGATGTGCTCCCAAGTCTAGGGGTCAATGTCTTTGTTGGTAGTGACCTTGTGCCACTGGCGGAGGGCGTGCACTGCCAGACACGTGCAGGTATGACCATTACGATCACTCCGCCGGATGAGCCACTGCCCACCCCCTTCTCCCTGCCGCATCTCTTGAGATCGCGTTTCGCTTGGAGTGATAGGGATTCGCTTCCGGGCCTTCCGGAAGCAGACGCATACTGTCTTGTCACAGAGTATGAGACCGTTTTGTTCATTTCCGATCCGAGAACACCTACGGAATATCGCAGACAGATTGCTAACTGTCTTGGTATTTCTCTTGCTACGCTGCGTCTTACACCTGCGTCTCCGCGGGCTCTCAACGCCGCGGTCGAGGGGCTTGCTTGCCGCACCGTCATCGCAGTCTGTGAAGCCTCTGCTCTGCAAGACAGCCTCTGCCACTGTGTGCTTCTCGATCAACGTCCGCTGGCATCTGGGTGGAGAACTGTCTTTGCTTTCCGTGGTCATGTTTTCTGTCCTGCGCTCCTTGCGGATCTTCGGGAACTAGCGCCAGCTGGCTACCTCCCTTTCCTGGATGGGGTGCCTGCAGAACAGACCCATCTGCCTACCATTGAGGGGCAGGTCCTTGTTGTCCGTTTGGCTCCAGTCGCACGTGCTGCACCTTCTGAGACTCCCCCAAACTCAGTGCCTGCTGAGGCGTTTGATGCGATGTCTCCTGAGACTGCCCCTGGTCCTAACACGGGAACCTCGGGGGTCCAGTCCCCGTCTGCTGATGTCGTGCCAGCCTCCTTTGCAGGTACCTTTGCATCTACTAGAGGTGGCCGCGGGGATGGTACCCCCCCACACGGAGATGAGCCGCCAATGCCATTAGATCCGGACCAGAGGGGTATAGTTCCTTCTTTTCACAATCTCGCCTTTGCCATCCTTGTGCCCGACTTCTTGCCTGAGCTTGTCTCTGTTCGGGTTGTTGTCCCGGCCGACTTGCACAGTACTTTGGCCTTGGTTTCTGCGGGTCGATTGCCCTTGAGGCGGCTTCGTTTCCCCAGGCTGATTCCGGTAAGGTTCCAGACTATGCAAGGGATCGCATTATTGGTTGCAGCCCCCGTCTGGCCGCACAGCGGCGTTACCATTGCTATCGACTGTAGGGCGCTCAATGGCCGCCTTTTTGCAGTCAGCACTCCGGCGTCTCTCGAGGTGACGGCTCTGTTACGCCTTGCCCGAGTACCTAATGAAGACAGGCCGCTTGTCTTTGTGGGGGATACGCCTTGGCCGGTCGACAATGCGGGAAGGGTTAGGCTCTCTGAGGGGGATGTTGTGCAAATACTCCCCCGAGTCCATGACCCCTTGTCTGTCACCACCCTAGCATCCATGCTTCAGGATGCGGCTTGCTGGGATGCCGACCGCGCTGCGGCACCTGCTCCGGATGACTTTGCACGGCTTGGCTCCGCTGTAAGTACAGTGCTCTCGGCAGACTCGCGGATATATGGGGCCCCTGGCCTCCAGTCGGAATGCTGTTTCTTGGACCTTCGCCCCATTCAACTGGGCATTGCGCGCTATCAGGTCATTGGCGAATGGCTTGATGAAGCTGCTCTCCGAGCCCGCTTCCTCTCGCGCTGCCCGGCAGGTTACCAGGTTGTTCTCTCCACCCCTGATAGCCTGCCACTTGTGCACAGGACTGGTATACGGGTCGAACCGGGCATGCTTGTCATCGTTGATTTTGTGCCGCAAAATTTTCGAGCCACTGACTGGCGTACGCTTATTCCTGTTGACCAGGACTCCACCCCTCCTGCCACAGCCAGTAATGCTTCTGCCCCCAGCATCGCTCAACTGGAAGGGCTGACCGGTGCGGCTTTGGGACGCGATGCAGGCACTGGCGGCTCCGGCCATTCCGATTCCGGCGAACCTTCCAGACACGCAGGGGCCTCACCCCCCCGGGATGCGCTTTGGCCTCTCCCGTGCGGCGACGGGACCCGATTGCAAATCGCCAGCACAAAGAATCTCTGTAACATGGCCTTGGGTTTTAGCCTCCTGCATGCGCCCGCCCTTGTGATGTGCCATCCCTGTGCCAAAGGCCTGGGTTGCTTCGCCTGCTATTTGCACACTCGTGTGGCGCATTCGCTTTGGCTTTGTCTCCAAGCCATCGTCCGAGCGCTTTGCGTCTTTTGTCTGGGCCTCCTGTGCGCCCTCTGCTGTCCTGTGCGCGGACGGGGTGGGCCACTCGCCTTGCTAGTAGCATGTGTGCTCTTTGCTCTTCTCCTGCCTGGCGCGCAAGCTGTGCATCTTCCAGTACTGCCTAGGGCTTGTCTTGAACTGGAGGCTGCAGTGGTGCACCGACCTGTGCCTACCCCTTGCAGAGCCCTTCCTGTGATGGCTCCCCCCCCTGTGCAGACCCCATCGGATTCCCACAGCTCTGTTGCCCTTGATAATGCCGAGCTGGAGACTCTCCTGGAAGAAAGCCTCCGCCAGCCGCAATGTGATGCCTTTTTCCTAGCGTCCACCTTGCTCCAGACTCTTGTCGAGCATCTCCAACCTACTTGGGGACCCTGTCCCGCTCGGAGCGAAGCATGTCGTGCAGATGCTCCCGATCCATCATACGACCCGGACAATGCCGCCCCTTCGCATGCTGCCCTGCCCCCCCTGTCGGGCTCGGGCCATGGCACGGAAGTGTCGCGCGGCCATCTGTCCCCCGTCCCGCTTTGTCTTTCTGTGTTACTTCCGGTGTCGGCCCCCCTCAGCTCCAAGCTGCCTGACATGCCTCTCGTTTCCCGGCAGGATGAGGCACCGGAGGTCATAGTCGATCTATCTGATACGACTCTTCTCCCACGTAGCCCGGGACAGGGGCCGGAGATCTTCGACTTAGATGCCCGAGCATGCCAACTACCTGGTGGAACGGATCTGCTCTTCGATCTCCAGCAGGCCTTCCCCTTCTGCAGACTCCGTGGCCCTGCTTCGGACCTTCCGCGCCCGGAGCGTTTTGCCGGCTGGCTGCGGCAGGGTACTCCTGGCCGGAGTCCTGCACCTGGCGAGGCCCTACTTCTGACCACGGATGGGTCTTTTTCTCCAGATGGTCCCGTGGCGGGATGGGCTGCCGTCCTCAGCCTCGTTCGATCTGGTGAACCTTTCCCTGGCCAGTTCATTGGATGCCTATCTGGCTCTCTTGCGCCCATTGTTGCTGCCATTGGCCCTTCCTTCGGTGACCTCGATGCCTTGGCGGAGGTTGCTGGCCTCTTCTGGGCAGGCCTCTTGGCCTTTCGGCTGACCGGGAGCTACCATGTCACTTTTCGCGCAGACAACCTTAGTGCCCTCCATGGAGTGGCAGGCAAGGCCAAATTGCGGGAACACCCGCTTTGCTGTGCGGCAGGCAATGTGCATAGTGCCTATGGCCTACTCCGAGGGCCTGCGGCATACGAGCATGTCTATGGGCATGCACGGGAGCCGGCCAATGAGCTCGCTGATGCTCTGGCTGGAGTTGCTGCGCGCTCACCTGATGTTCTACCTTTCCCCTTTCCCCTTGACAAGTGGTTCGGGGACCAAGGGGCCGCTTTTGCATGGCTCCCGCACGTCTGCGCTTCGCAGCACTGGCCACATGCATTTCCCCGCATCCGGCACGACGCCTTGACATGGGGGCGGGCCGAACTCGAGTGCTCGTGGTCCACGTCCAAAATTATGCAACCACACCTCCGCATCTGCGAAGGTCAAGCCACTGAAGGCGCTAGGGCACACGGAGCCGCTCTCCGTTTAGGCCTAGCCTCCTTCAATGCCCTCTCCCTGCTAGAGGTTACCCCGGGCTCTCATAGTGCCGGGTTACACGGCAGCACCGGACGTGTCAAATTGTTGGCCGCATCTCTACTAGACCAGGGAGTTGACATAGCGGGTTTACAGGAGTGCCGCACCCCTCGAGGTTCCATGGATTGCTGTGGATTCCGGCGTTTCTCCTCTGGTCGGGATGATGATGCCTGCTTCGGGGTAGAGCTATGGGTACACGAGAAGTCCGCCATATCTGGACAAACCATCCTCGTCATGCACGCCGAGCCAACTTTCCTCATCGCGGGCCTTACTTTCTGCGGGCGCCCCCTCCGCTTCCTTGTTGCCCATGCTCCCCATAGAGCCCATCCGGTTACGGTCCGCCAGGACTGGTGGAAGCGAGTTACGCACATCTGCCAGACCTTCTCCCGTTCGGCCGCTTGGGTCCTTCTGCTGGATGGTAACTGCAGGCTTGGACATGTTGAGGGCCCAGGTATCGGACCTCACCATGCTGACTTCGAGGATGAGGGTGGTGAACTCCTTCGCGCCCTTGCACTCGCACTGGACTGTTGGCTCCCAGCCACTTTTGAGGCCACAATGCAAGGTCCAGGGGGCACCCTTTATCAGCGGCGCAGCGGCCTTTTCGATCGCTCAGATTATGTCGGCCTCCCGTGTGAGTGGCAACTCTCCTTTTGCTGTGCCCAGGTCGTTCCGGAAATCTCGGCGGGGCACAAATGTCTAGACCATTTCGCTGCTGTTGTGTACTGTGCTATGTGCCCTAGTAGGCCTGTCCGGCGTGCCCAGCAGGCTCCACGCATAGACTCTGAGGCTCTGTGCCTGCCTGCTAATCGTGCCTTGGTTGAGTCTATTATCAGCTCGGCACCCATGCCCTCTTGGGACGTTGATGCCAGCCAACACGCGGCGATGCTCACTGAGCATCTCTATCAGGGCCTGGTTAGTGCTTTTCCGCGTCGGCGACGCCGCATGCGAGGAGACCATTTCTCGGAGACCACAGGAGCCCTTCATCAAAGGGTGTCGGAACTCCGACGCTCCCTTCGATGCCGTTCGCACAACCTGTGCCTCACTCTCCTGCGCTGCGCCTTCCTGGCCTGGAAGGCGCGGATCTCCTTCTCCAACCTATATCAGGGCCGATGGCTGTGGCAGCTTCAGATCCTGCGGGCCTTTGACTGCTTCATGTTGCACCGCCTGGGGCAGCAGCTCCGTGCAAGCTGTAAGCGAGATCGGCGTGATCGGCTCGCTGCCCTCTCGGAGCAGGTCGCCGTGGCACCCTGCGCCTCTCTCCACCTTGCTGTGCGCCGGATCATGAGACCCAAAAAATTCCGGCGATCCGGGCCCATGCCACTGCCGATGCTCAAGCGTGGAGATGGCACCGTGTGCCATACACACGAGGAGGTCCTTAAGGAATGGCGCGAACACTTCCGGGTCCTGGAGGCGGGTTTGGAAGTCGATGCGTCTGCGCTGGCAAGCAGCTGCCATGAGCGCCAGCTCGCTTTCGAAGGCACTGATCTGGTTGAGGCCAGAGACGTGCCCACTTGGCAGCAATTGTGCGCGGCGTTTAAGTCGACATCACCGCACAAGGCATGCGGACCGGACCTTCTCCCTCCTGCCATTTGCACATACTTTAGCCAACCGCTTGCGGTGGCCTTCTGGCCAATTATGCTTAAGGCCGTGCTCAAGTCGAACGAACCAATCGGCTTGAAAGGAGGTGTCTTACACCGGATTGCGAAACCGTCAGCGGTCAGCAATACGACAGCCGGATACAGGGGGATTCTCGTGCAATCCTGCTTGTCTAAGGTTCTGCATAGGGCCATGAGAGACCTCACAGTCAGGCATTGGGATAAGCATGTGCTCCCTCTTCAACTTGGCGGCAGAAAAGGATGCCCGGCGGCTTTCGGTCACTTTTGCTCCAGGGCCTTCCTTGCCTATGCCAGGGCAGTGCGCAAGAGTGCTTCTATCCTCTATGTGGACATAGCTGCTGCCTACTACGGGGTCATCCGCGAAGCTGTCCTCGGTGCCCAGCAACATAGTCGGCCGGTTGAGGCCTTGGCCCATTCCCTGGGGTTGGCGAATAGCGATCTCCAGCAACTCCAAAGCTATATCGCAGATGAGCCAGTGCTGCAGGAACAGGAGGCTGCGCCCCTGCTTACGGAGATCGCCACAGAGCTGCACCAGAGCACCTGGTTCGTTCTGCATGGGGACCGGCAGCTCATTGAGACACATCGGCAGGCGGGTCCCTTGCGGATATTGTCTTTAGTATCCTCTTCTGTAAGGTTCTACAGCGACGGGATCTTTCCTCTTTGCAGCCTTGGTTGCCACAGATCCCCTGGCACGGTCAGCGGGCCCCTCGCCCATCCACGGCATCGGATCAGGCTGCACAGGTTCAGGCTAGTGATGTGGTCTACGCCGATGATTTGGCAAGCTTCCTGCTGACAGCTCGAGCCTCCGAGTTGCCTCGGGCCATCTCCACTGCCACTGCGGAGACCATCGATACCTTTCTGCCGCATGGGCTAAATGCTAACATCGGTCCTACAAAGACCGCTGCCATTGCTGTGCCTACGGGGCATGGATCTCGTGCCGTGCGCAAAGCCCTTTTTGGCAGCGGCCAGGGTCAGCTCGCTGTCCTGCCAGAAACCAAGGGTGGATTTAAGCTTGACCTTGTTCCAGCCTATCGCCATCTCGGTTCCTTTGTCACACACTCGGGAGGCATGCTTATTGAGATTCGCCATCGCCTCGCTCTCGGGCGTTCTGCTATGCAGGAGGGCAAGCAACGTCTTTTCGCGTGCAGGCAGATCCCCCTTGCCAAAAGGGCTGTGCTTTTCAAAATGCACGTCCTCTCGTCAGTTTACTCTGGGATTGGCACGTGGCCCATTCTCAACGCACAAGAGTGGACTGCCTTCGCTGGGGGGTTGGTCAGCCTGACCCGACAATTGTTATGCCTCCGTCATGAAGGTGGCTTTCGGTGTACCGAGTCACAGATTTTTGCACGTGCGGGTCTTGCGCTGCCAGCGCACGCCCTTCACTCTGAGCGGCTTCGCTTTATGGGGCAGCTTGTTACGCATGGCCCCAATTCGGCTTGGGCCCTCTTGTCCTGGTATCCGGACTACCAGGAAGCGTTGAGCACCGCTTCGACTTGGCTCCTCAATGCCCTTGGCTCCACCTGCCAACTCGGGCCCCTTTTGGCCGACTGGGCGTCCTGGGAGGCCGTTATCCGCCAAAGCCCGGGCAAATGGAAAGGGTATATTAAGAGGGCTGAGGCTTGGTACATTCTTCGTAACGAGCAGCAAGCTGCCCTAGACACTTTCGTTCGGGCTGCCTGGCCCGCCCATGAGGCCCTCCACATATCCGACCTCACCCGTTGTTCACAGGCGTGCCTCCCATGCCGCAAGGGCTTTTGGACACGTCAACAGTGGGGGGCGCATGCGCACAGAGCGCACGCCTACAATTCGCGAGCCCACACCCTGGCAGAAGGGCGCACTTGCCAGGCCTGTGGCCTTCAGCTTGCCACCGCCGGCAAACTGCGCACTCACCTGCGGCTCACCCCGATTTGTGTTCAGCGTTTGGAGGAGCTGGCAGCCTCTGGTGAGCTCAAGCCTGACCGCACTTCGGTGCACGTGCTTGCCCCTGCCATCCCAGGTACTGGTAAGGCTGCCCTGGGCCCCCTGCAGGAGGAGGTTTTTCCTCCCTTGCTTGCTGCCTTATCTGCCTTCGTGCCACCTGCAGCGGATGTTGACCAGGCCATCATGGATTTGGTCTCCTCCTTTATCGCGCCCCTTCCTGTCCTGCGTTCAACTCTGGTACTCTGGTCCTCCGGGTTGACTCCAGGGCCCCTACAGGAGGCGGTCACAGATGTCTTGCTCATCTTGCACCCCCAGCATCTGTGTGACACCGTCGCTCCTCTTCCGGGTGGTAGTGCAGCCCCTGGCTCTGTCTACTGCCCGAGCATTGATGTGCCCCACGTGATCCCATACCGCGCCACTGGTCGGATCTTGGCCTTTGGCGCCGCTTCAGCCTGCCCGGGCTGGCTGACCCGGTATGGACTGGAGGATTGCATCCAGATCTCCCGTGGTTTCGCTGAGCTTGACTCGGATCTCCTTGCTGATTGCTGTGGAATTTTCGTTGTCTTGCCTCCGCTGCCCGGTCCTGGACTCTCCCCCTTTGCGCCTGCATCGTGCCCCATTAAGGTGCTCAAGCGTCTGCGCCTCTGGACTGACGCAGCCCTGAAGGGGTTTGGCGATGTTCTGGCTTTCGTGCGCACATCCCGCCCTGCCTACGTTTCCTTGCCTGGCCCGGCAGCCTCCTTTGCGCCCCTCTCAGGATGGCTTCAGGATATGGAAGCGGCTGCGGCAGTTGCGGCCCCTGCTCTCCCTTGTCTCACTCTTGAATTTGTTTGTACAGCTCTGCATTAGGCACGTCCCTTGGACTTTCAGCCATTCCGAAAGAAAGAAAGGCCCCGATATTACACCACCGAACTTGTCAGGCGCTCCAGGCTGCCTACCGCCGCCAGGTGGAGGAAATGCAAGAGGCCGGGGACCCAAAAGCAGAGGCGAACATGGGCTTCAGGGAGGGATCAGGGCCACGTGCACTGCTCAAAAAAGGGATGACTATGAGGGTGCTATGCTTCAAGACACTGTAAGGTGCTATGAAAGGTTATCATTAGATTCAGGGTTTCAGGTAGCTTGACGAGGGCTTGGGGCCTACGCTTCTATAGGGCTAAGGGATGCTTAGGGCTTTTTGTGTATAGGGCTGAGAGTTTGAGGCCTACGGCTCATACGGCTTATGGGGTTTCAGGCTTAGGGCTTTAGGTTGGGGTCTGGGATTGAGGGTTCGCAACTCCGAAAGTATCTACGCCCTATGGGAGAGCAGTTCGAGGGTGTTCTTTACCATCATTTACTATAGCCATTTTGTATACCCTCCTTTTGTTCAGTGTCTGTGATGGTGGTTCCCGGAAGCCCAGTCCGACATGGTCAGTTGAGCATTTTCCGAGCCAGCAACGAGCATGTCGGAGCCTGACCTTACGGTCGGACATGCTCGCTGTACACCCACGAAGAAGTCTTTAAGCCAGCATATCCGACCCTGCAGCCGGCGTCCGATATACTGGATCTAGGAGGGCCCTACTAGGAACACATCCTGGGTACTCGTATCTTTTCCTCAAGGGTTTGGGGAGTTGTGTTGTAACAGTCTGGCGAGGCCATGCTGCCACACTTCAGGAGCATGTTGCAACGCAGCTGTGGGGGCTTCCCTGCACGGCTCCCATTGCAGCTGCCGGTGACAGCCCGGTTACAGCACCCATTGTCCACTCCGCTACAGCTCCCCGTCCAGCTCCGTTACAGCTATACTGCTCTCGAAGCAGTCGCTACAGCTCCGTTGCAGGTCTCGTATCGTTACTGCTCAGGAAGTACTGCTCCTGGCAGGGACGCCCGAAACATTGTAACATGCTAGAGGACAACCCACCAATAGCCCAGCACCTTCCTTACACCGACAGAGAACCGGCTGGTCTGCAACGTTGCTGGCAGTAGAAAGCATTCAGAAAGCATGGACGACGGGGGCTTGACATGCGACTCGTCTTGGCCTTTGGCCTACCGAGTCCTAGGTAGAAACCCAATCTAAGTGGCGAAACCGTCGCTAATGACAGCATTCAGCAAGACACTCTGGGACTGTCAAACACCGAGATCAGGACTTGCAGCCAACCAAGCAACAAGCCAGCCGGCACTGCACAGGTTGAGGCGTCGCTCTGGGCTGTGCGCTCTCGTGTGATCACCCAGACGAATTCATCCTCTGGGTTTGATTGTACGCATGGTGTGCGATGTTCATGCGTTCGTTGCAGAAGAGGGTGAGCATAGGCGCTTTACGTCCAAACTTGGATGTCCTAGTCAGCTTTTGCCTGACATGCACCTCCCAAGCCCGGAACTTTTCAACCCCAGAACAGTGTTTGAAGCTTTGTCTCATCTCGCGTTGTCCTGGCCTGAACCGAATTTAGTTGACATGTGCAGAAGTCAGCCATTGAGGTTACAATGGACACTATGTGTCAATCAGCGGCTTTGCATGGTTTACGACGACCGATGTGCCACCGCCAAACGCAAAAGTTGCAAATCCGTTCGCAAGGACTGGATGCTGCGTCACTGGAGCTGGAGGTGGAACGGGTTGCAGCTTTGCTTCTGGCATGCGAAGTTGCCAGTAGCACCCTAGAAGCCTCCGTTGGCAAAATCGGGGGCCACAGGGGCTTGCATGCCTTACAGATGGAGAACTGTAGCTGTAGCTTTATTTAAGGTGCCAAATCACTCACGTCTTTTCAAGCTTTCATTACGTTTCCTTAGCTGTCCTTAGCATATTGTTTCTTCGCCGGCTGGTTGCTAGATTTGTCCATCTGGCACCCCTGACTGTAGGTCTAGTGCCCAATGTCACTGAAAGTTGCACATGTTGCATTGCATTGTGATCACCCTGGACAGCCTTGACGCCTGAACTCTGTCATGTAGTTAATACAAGGAGGAGCAGGGCCACAACCTCCGGCTGGGTTCTTCCCTCAGCATTCATGGTGCGGCTTGCGTCAACATTTAGGACTTTGTGGTTGAGTGGAGACGCCAAGAACCAATAAGTGGAGAGGACTTTCTTGTGGTATCTCGTGGGCTGCGGTGGGCAGTTGTATCTTCTCTTGGAAGCCTCTTGAATCCAATCAGTCTCATTTATTTGGAATTGCCCAGCCAAAGACCATTTGAGCATCTTGTTTTCAACTTACGATGAGATCGGAATTCTAAGCCGATGTGCAGAACGGCGTACTGCACAATCAGTTTGTGCTGGTATCTGGTATCATTGCATGACACCACTCTGTCTAAAAGCCTTATGCTGTCTGAGAAGCTGCACAGTGCGTTCGCCTTGGAGCTCTCCCTCCTCTTACCGACAGAGTACGACGACCTAAATGCCAGAATCATCAAGAGCCAGACTGCTGCGTGATTTCAGACCCTATACAACCCTGAAGCTGCAAGAAGCAACCTGGCCAGTTCAGGCGAGGTCATCGCTTCAGAGGCTTCCCCCCTTTCTGCGACGATTGGGGCATGCTGCGCTGGGATAACTTAAACTGCTCACGCTTACCCGAGGGTTGATCTTCGGCAGTGGAAGGCCGGAAGGCCGCATAGGAGCTTTTATAACCCTACACTCTATAATATCCCTCTAAACCCTATATACCTTGATGAACCGTTTGTGCCTTGCATGGAAGGTGGCACGGAAGCCGTCCACACTGATTGCATGCTCCCTATGATCGCAAGCGGGCTCGAAGCTGCCTTCGGCTTTCTTTGGTTTCGGGGCTTCGGATTCAGGTTTTGAATTTCAGGGTTTAGGGTTTGAGGTTACTTCATGTAGACGAATTTATTTGACTCTTGAACACACCCTACTGGGTCGCATTTAGGCAAAGACACCCCTAGACACCCAAAGAGGGCTAAAGCCATGCGCGCCCTGGGCCTCCAGAGCCTCGCTTTCTCCTCGGCTGCCTGCGCTGCGCTGGCGCTGGCCTGGCTCCGACGCCGAAAGCGCCGGAGAGCTCTGGACGTCAGGGGCTTAAAGGGTTCCAGACCCGGTCCCGAACCTAAAATTGTAAATCCGAAATCCGGTGCTGTTATAATTCAAGTCAGTGTCTCTGTATGACGAAACAAATCAAAAGGGATCATCTTCTAAGTGGTCCATATAGGGTATTAATTATAAGGGGTTCAGGGTGCAGAGTTTAGAGGGTTTAAGGTTGAGGGGTTGGGGGTTTGGGAGAAAAGGTTTACAGTACGGTTGGTAGGGGGGATCGGGGTTTGGATGTGGAGGGCTTGAGGGATCTGGGGTTTTCGGGATTTCGAGGTTCAGGGATTTCGGTGTTTATACTAGGGTTAGGGATGGAGGGGTTGTCGGGAGCCCATTCGACGCGCACTCACCCTATCTCCCGGTCATGCAAGCGCAGATCCCAACAATGAACAGACACGCTCCAGGACCATGTACACCCCGAAGATACGAGGACGACTGCAGCATCACCACGACCATGCAATATCACAAACACGCCTTAAAACCTGTATCACAAGCTTGTCCTAGACCCTAAGCGACATGCGTGGCTTCCTTGGCAGCCAGTCTCTCACAGGACGGCGCAACTCCGGATTGCACCTTGGTGACCGTGCCTTGTCAGTTCCTGCACGAGGGATGATCCTTCAGACGAGCCCGATTTAGGGGCTAGGGTTTAGGGTTTCATCACACTTTTGTTCAGCAGGCG